ATCTATCTATCTATCATCTATCAGTGGTAGGTTGCAGGCGGTATGCCCCGGTACGGGCATACCGGAGCCAGCCTGGAGCACTGGATACTGTTCTAGTATGGTGCTCCAGAAGGCCCACCCACCCGCCTGAGCTCCTTACCAGTGTTTAAAGGATTCTGCACCTCCGCACAGGCGCATAGCGCATACAGCACCTGCATGACACTCCACGGAGCAGCTGGAGCATCGCAGAGCATCATGGTGCTCAGACGCATATGCACACTGCATGTGTGTGCGTGTACACTGCACACGTCCATGAGGATGCTGCCAGTCGTTCCAACTGCACTGGTTGGAATGGTATTTGAAACCCACCACTATATATAACAGAGGTAACTAAGAACTAAAATCTCACAAGAATCTGTGTTGAAACCACTACTATAACCTTTTCTTAAAAATTGATTTATGCAGTAAGGAATAGAATAGAATAGAATAGAATAGAATAGAATAGAATAGAATAGAATAGAAGACAAGACAAGACAAGACAAGACAAGACAAGACTTGTTTGGCCAAGTGTAATTAGCCAGACAAAAAATATTATCTCTGGTGCAAAAGCTTTCAGTATATATGAGCAACAACAAAAACCAAACAACAACAACGATACCAATAAAAGGGGGTAGTAAAGAAGATAAGAATAATAGTAATATTATAGACATACAATGTAAGTAAATATACATAAACATTAGACATTACATAGATATTTGTGAATGATACTAATCTATTCTAGAAGATAAAAAGCTGTTTTTAAAAATCTATGTAAATATTGTATTATGTTTTGAAATATTGTATGTCCCCTTCCAGAAGTTAGTTGAAGTGTAGGGTTATTCTCCCAGATCATAAACTTGGAAAATTTTCAACAGTAAAATCATATAGGAAAAACATTGTCTGCATTATTTAATAATTTAGATATGTGAACATACCTAAACAATTAATAATGGTTGAATTTCTGAGTCTAATCCATCAGGATTTATTTGCCTCTGATCTTATGTAGGCTGGAGAAGAACTACCTTTAATAAATACAAAAGTTGAAATTTCTATTGCATTTATTGTCTTTTCAGGACCATGACAAAATTGTATGAAGATAGTAACTGGTCAAATAAAGATCTTGGGGAAATCATTTTGCAAGCTCGGAAGCAAGCAGCCAAATCTAAGAGGGGTGCCTTTTCCTTGGAAAATCTGAAGTCTTACCATAAGGAGCTGGCTCAGCGGACCATTGCAGGATATAAATCTTCTTTTATAGATCTTTGGGGACTCATGATTGAAGCCATGCTGAATGATGCGGTATGCAAAAGGGGTTTTCTGCCTCTCCCTATGTTGTTTCTTAGCTTCTGGGAGAAAAATTGTATTCTGTAATGAACATGCTTTCTTATTTAGTTCAGCAGGATTTACACTGTAGATGAACCAATATCTGCTCTTTTTAGCTCTGTCCTCTATCACAAAAATATAATTCAGCTCTTCCTAGGATGCTTTGTTGTAAACTGAATAAGGAAGCATGGAAGAAACCATAGTCAAATGAAAATCAGAAGCAGTCATGGAAAAAAGGTGTGGGATAAAAAAAAAGACATTCCTGAGACATTTTGGGGGGAAAAAATCTCTTTTATGGGTACCTATTAAAAGAGTATATATAAAAGGATATGGTTTTCCCAGTTGCAATGTATGGCTGTGAAAGTTGGACCAAAAGGAAGGCTGAGCCCCAAAGAATTGAGGCCTTTGGTGCTGGAGAAGACTCCTGCAAGTCCCTTGGACTGCAAGACAATCAAACTGGTCAGTCCTAGAGGAGATCAACCCTGTCTACTCTTTAGAAGGCCAGATCCTGAAGATGAAACTCAAATACTTTGGCCACCTAAGGAGAAGGAAGGACTTACTGGAGAAGAGCCTAATGCTGGGAAAGATTGAGGGCAAAAGAAGAAGGGGATGAGAGAGAATGAGGTGGCTGGATGGAGTCACTGAAATAGTCAGTGTGAGCTTAAATGGACTCCAAGGGATGGTAGAGGACAGGAAGGCCTGGAGGAATGTTGTCCATGGGGTTGCGATGGGTCGGACACAACTTCATGACTAACAACAACAACAACAATATTTAAAGGGCAATGTATGAATTTTAAAATACCATACTACAAAATGAAATAGTCTAAAACATTTTTGGGTCTAGCAGGACTCTGATTTTGAAATTATACTCAACAACTACCTGATGAATCTCTATACTGAAACACCTTTCTAAATCAAAACAATAAACCATAGTGGATTAATGAAGTTAATTAGATGTCAATAAAAGAGAATATTTGTAGCTCAGGGTTTAATTGTGGAGTCCTTGGTACTCTTTCACCTTGGTTGTTTGCAGATATTTCATTACCCAACTAGATAAGAGGGAAGAAGTTTGGAGTTTGCTTCCTGTTTTTATATAGTAGCTTGCCATGCCACAGTTGATCTGCTTAATCCTCTAAATTAGATTTTTAAATCTTTCTGTATAATAATTGTTGTGCCTATCCACTGTTTCCTCAGTGTATAAGAATTAATAGAACTCAAATTCTCCATCACCATCATCTTTAGCATTTGTGCACTAAGTAATATATTGCCTAATGAATAACATCTGTTGAAATAAACACGATGAAATAATGTAAACATTTTTTTATTTTGTCTCACCCCAGCAGGGGGCAGCACATAGCTAATTTTAGCTGATCTGAAAAGCTAAATCGGAATTTGCACTTTGACAAGATCTGCAAGTCCCAGCTCCATAAGGGCATTGAAAAAATATTGGCAAAGATGATGGGGCAACCCACTTTTATTTTAGCATTTACCACAAGTCAAGCTCGCCTTGAAATAGTATTTTTGAACAGCCTTAGTTTGAATATACTTGCTGCTCAAGAGAGTACACCAGAGAATAATCTACCATATGTTTCACGCATCTGTTCTCCGTGTTCACCATCCAGCAAAAGTTGAGAAAGCAGGTGGCCCTTCCTGTTCAGATGCTAAAACTGCCATAACTTCACTTGGGATCATTCCTATGTTCCAAACTTTTCAAAGAACTAGCATTTTGAATCGATAAATAATAAAGTCTATTGATAAGCTCCATCCCACCAGCCTTTCTTGTGATACTTGGCTTGTCATTTGGAACCATCTGAATTATTCAAATACTTTTCAACGTAAACCAATGCAGAATTAGTTATGATTGTATATAAGATATACACATTGAGGACAGATCCTCACAAGATCCTCCTGCTTTTATCTGAATCAGAATGATAAAACTGTCCAGACTTTTAACTATAGTCTCTCTGGTTCAGAACATGTCTATGACACCACAATGCATAGACAAAAGGCACAAGGCATGAGGAATGATGCCACAGTGCTTTTGTTAGTCAACTCCCCCACTTCATCTCCATAAACCACATACCCTTGCATAACTAATTAAATAATGAAGATATGCTCTGTTTCTGCACACATTCATATTTTCTGTTCATAGAAAGCCTTTCTCTACCTCATTATAGGCTTATTATGCATCTTGGTGGCAGTCTTGCCAAATTCAGTTGTGACACAAACTTACTCTCTGATAGCACTTATCAAGCTGAGTCTCTACAACTTCCCATTGTTTAGGACTTTATCATATCTACATCTGGCTCTGCTCCTGAGATCAAACAGCATGAAAGGCCACCATGTTTTGAAAGAGATGGCAAGCCTGAACCACCCCTACTACTAGAGGATTTAGGAAGTTAAAAATGTCAAGATTGCAGTCAGGACTATTCACTTTTTATTTATGTGCCTCAATCAGGTGGTTACTGTGACTGTATTGCCTTTTATTTTAACCTCTCCATCCCAGACACTCTAGCTATAATTTTTTTGCTATGGTTACTCCTGCTGATTTTGATTATATTCAACTAGATCACGGGTGTCAAACTTGCTGCGTCATGTTGCCGTCATGGAGCTGGGGTGGGTGTGGCCTGCATGTGACGCATCCGGCCCATAGGCCACTAGTTTGAGAGCCCTGAGCTAGATGAAGCCCCAATCAGGATAAGAAGTTCAGGGAAAGGGAATTAATCTTCTTTGTGAGTGTTATAACACTTTGGAAGTCAACCCTATGCAGACGAACAGCAATTATTTGCCATATTATCCCTTCTTTTCCAATATTCCATTTTCTTTATCCTTCCTTCACACATATT